TCATACAGGGATCATCAACTGTCCATACAATATCCACACAATATTTGGGATATATTGAATTTGGTATTGGTATATTCCCACAGCGCGAAAAAATTCATGACTCACCCTACTGTAATTAGGAAGTATTTACAGAGAAAATACTAGGGCCAGCGCCGTCCCAGAATTTATTCAGGGCAAGGGGATGGAGGGCGAAAATTTTCCGGAATCAAATCGCGTGACATTAACCTCCTTCCCGATTTTTTTCATACTTACAAAATCTTAACCATCATGTCCTGCGAACAGTCCTCGGATGAAGCTAACCTGAATTCTATAACTCATGTCCCTTTTCGAAGTTAACAACTGAGGATGAATGAAGAGTAAAAAAATCATGTGTTTCAAGAAGATAATACGTTAGTGTACTTTTCAGCTTGAATGGTTATGTGACATTAGTGTGATCGAACTAATTGACTTTGTTGATATGCAATGTTCTATTGATTCCATTGAACATTTTTTTAGCCTTTTGTGTTTGGCCATTTGTATTCTAATCCTTAAGCAACCATTTTAGGTGTCTTACAAAGGCTTTTGTAGACATGTGTTTATAGTTCACTTTTATGATTGGAAAGAAGGGGAGATAATAACGAATCGTTTTTTACTCAGTTACGAACCATTACGAGATCCTGTCCTCAAGAAGTTCAACTAGAATATCTTTGGAGGAGGTAGAGATCACACATGCTCTGAACGAAGCCCACATTAGAATTGATTCCGGAAAAAAGTCCCTGCATTGAAAAATCTACAAGATTGGGTAAATGATCGTGGACAGCATCGCGAGACTACTCGGTCTGGGAGGCTTGGAAGATAATGAGGCGCCCACTTCCGTAATTCCTTCACTCATCATTGATCTCTTTTCATCATGTTTACATAGCCGGCCTTGAGAAGATTTTGAGATAAACTGTTAACAGCAAACAAACCAAATTAAGCTTATGAAGATTCTTGCCTCTACTTATTCATGTGGAATTTTGCATGAGATTATATGCCTTTTGTGGCCCTATTAGATTGGCTAATAAATAAGTTCGGTCGATTTTGCGGCTTTTACAAATGCTGGAGAGAAATTTTTGTCCAGTGTTTGGTACCTCCGAAAAGAGCATTTCAACGGGAATTGCGATATATATTCTGTTTGAGTAGAACTTATCTTCCAAGGGAAAAATCCGCAAAGAAGTGAGAAACCCCAATTTCTTCCTAGTACACAAAATGAGGAAATTCGGGTTTTTTTTTGATAGAAGATTTTCAAAATGGCGGATCACTCATCGTTATTCACTAAATAAGGAAAGCTCCTTTATATCCAAATACCAAATTGCTATTCTCCACATCCATTACAGCAAAACGAAGCATAGGAAGTTAAAAAATTGAGCTTTTGGAACTTTAACCATGTCGAAGTATAAGTGTCTTTACTGATGATGGAAAATCCTGATTATTTGGTGTTTGGTAGAGAGTGCTCTAGGCTACAATCCCACAAAAACGGATAGAAAACGACAAGAAACTTTTTTTCTTAATGAAGATTTGCATGCCAAAACGAACTTATTTTTTAGCCAACCTAACAGTGATTCATGAACTGGACTTAACGAGTTTCATCACCTTGCTTGCTACACTTAATTGAGTATCAACACAAGCTTTGAGAAAGCCCTGTATCTGCAGCACCTGTTGCAAAGTTAGAACGAGTCCGCATCATAAATCTAATAAGAAGGCTGATTAAGGTTAGCGGTAGGGCAAGAAAAGTTGTAATAAGAAATAGAGGTCCTAGATTTTTTGGGTGTAGGAAGAATGACATTCAATGGATCACTTTGTTGCCCCATCCTCGTCCTTTCCCTCCCCCTAACGCGCAACGAGAATAAAGAGTTAAAGAAGCATCTAGGTACTGGTCAGTCGTATAGAGAAGACTCTGCATTCGTAACTAGTTTTCAGCTTCTGAGCACAAAATGATCTTGGCCCATTAATTATCAATATTATGCCATGGCATTTCTATCACAACCTTCTCCGTTTTTTTTTTGTGACTTTGATTCACCTATAGTTCCGCGCAATTTGTTAAGCGTCATGATGCGCACGGCGTTTGGGCCGTATCTGCAGGTGCCGTGTTCGGTGCAGGAACATGTCTGTTTTCTACCCATTTCTGCAGTCCATAAGTAAGAGCTTGGAACGCTGACTCCAAATCTGTCTTCGGTATCTGTAGAGCGCTTTTGTGAAAGAAGTTATGGGCATTTTTTGAAATCGAAAAATGAACACTTGGCCAGGATAAAATCAACCGTTAGCTTTACCAGATGTCAATGGGAGAAATAGGAAGTAATGATATATTAGGCAGAAGAAGTTCCTTGTATGAAGTATCCTGACACTTGCCGATGCTTCGCATGAGGACTGGAGAAGCTGTAGCGAGATTGATTTCAACCTGGCTGTTAGTTAATTTCCCGACTACAAAAATGCTCATAGCTTCTTTTCCAGAAGGGCTTCTCAGGTAGGGAGAGCAGATTTGAACTCAGCGCTCCAGGCTCTCACTGACGCTATGCAGCTTATGGCAATCGGCCACTTCGACTTCGTGGCCTCCCTTGTTAGTATAGTGCTGCTTCAACCCTTATGGATCCAGTCTTCTCGTATAATTATGATCAATCCTAGTGAGAAGTAGTTCCCATGACCACCAGCCCAAGTCGCTTTATTTGCTATATCGCTTCCACATTTCTGGCGCATCTACTGCTTGCAAAACTGTAGTCCTATCAGTCCCCCATTCTTGCTCGGCCTGTTGAGACGCGAAAAGGAAATGGAGAATCGTGTGCAATCGAGCTGTTGTTAGCATTATCACGTCGCTTACTAAGACGCTTAGCGCGTCGTCGTGGCCGCGTCGCCGACGCTTAGCCACCTTCTAATCCGACACTTAAACTGCGCACACAGTTTGTTTTTACGAATAGCTGTATAGATGGAGAGATCCTACATGATATGATGATTGAGTCAGTTGTCTGTTGTCTCGAAAGTAAAGAACTCTCAAGGTACGGCAAAGTGGTGTTCAGTGCAAGGGGGGGGGGGGGATCCACACTCAGACCATTCCCGATCAGTATCCGCTCCGCGTATGAAATTCTCTTTCTCTCCTTTGATACTACTCGATTGAGTGAGGACGAATGTATGCCTATGGCCCCGGGCATTATTCATGTCATTTCAGTCGCTACGCGATTTGGCAATTTGCCAGATTCCAACATTCACAGACTACCAATGCATGACCAGTATAACTTACATAAATTGATGAAACGCTTCGTCTTTTGTACGTTTAGAATGCGCTTACGATGAGTGCCAATGCTTACAAGTGAAATGCCAAATTGCGTTGGGACTGAAATCGCATGAATTATGCCTGTGCCTATCAAAATTTGTGGTCACTATGGTGTTCTTGAGCTGCTGTCAAAATTTGCGCGTAAATGTCCATAGCTGTATGGTATTTTTAGCGCAAGTTGCGAGCTACTTCTCGGCATTTTCTAGCATGACATTCCCGCTCAAATGTTGTCGTCGTCGCAGGCACTGTCACGCAATAGGTGGCCTACTCTAGGCGCTATCGCGGGGGCTCGGCGTGGTGTCCAGGGGTTTGAAAAGGTCCTTTATTGAGTGGACGTCCTCCAGGCGATCGGCGTCCGCGTATTTTCTCGGTTTGGCTCCTTGATTGTTTGACCTCACGGTAGGTGACAGAAAGACAAAAAAAGTGATTTGAGCCGGGCGAAACCGCCTTATATAGCGGCCGAGGAGATACGCATGCCGCCGAGTGCCTGATCCCGCCAACCGGCGGAATGCGTACAAAACAAGGTAGAACAAAAAAAATGCACAATACCAGATCGTAGATAAGCAAAGCAAGATCATGATAAGGAGTACGCGACAAGATTACAGCACCATTCAAACTGTTCGGATCATTTGAGCCCTAATTTCTTTCACAGCGCAACTATCCGTTAAATCCAGACGACTGTATACCACAATTCGGAAAATTGCAGTATTCAGTCGAACGCATTAGAAATTGATAGTCTATCAGTCGCATACATAAAGATTTACACGAGGCATTCGGGAAGATGCATTCACTTTCAAAGAAATAGGAAAGCATTTATCTGAATTTATGGACAAATAGTCGGAACATTTAGAAAAGTATTCGCTTGAGAATTTTTCTGCGGTATTCAGTGCGATTCCCCACTTTAAGACAGAGCAGATAAATTAACATTCAGATCAAATTCGCAGTCATAGAATCTTTACAAGAACTTGAGCCGAAGTTTAGAGTCAGTTTAGGTTTAGGTTAAAATGACAGATTATAATCTCTCGATTAAAGCGAATGTATAGAAAATTTTGCTAGATTCGAATGTTCGACTATGTTCGATAATCTGGAGACTAGAATGGAACAATTCTATCTTGGATAAAACTTAACGATATTTTTCTAAGAAAAAACTTTGTTGCTACAGCAATGAACATTAGGCCAATTTGATTACGTGCATTACCATTGACGAAGATGTTACAAAATTTGTCCCCTAGCTTGTCCCCGCGAAAGCAATCTGCTCTTCCACAGTCGAGTTCATGCTTTATGAAGTGTGAGCTTTGGAGAGATAATGCTTATCCATGCGAAAGTTCAAACGTCATTGCTTTTCGAATATTACATTTTGTTATCCGGAGTGGGAAGCGGGACCGCATTCGAAACTCTTGTGTTACATAGAAGAAAACTGAGAAAAATATCACCCCACGTCATGGTCCTTTGTTGTCAAGGAATTTATGCCAGAGTTGTTCAGCATTTGGTAGTTCACACCAATTTTCTGGAAGAATATCATTTTTCGATGCTAAAAATAGTGTCGATGCTGCCAGTATGAGAGTCAGTTTTTTTAGTTACAAGGTAAATAATGTGCAGTGTTTTGCATACTAAAGGATCTTCAAAAATGAATCAAATGTGAAACGAGAGAGATATGTAAGCATTGAAGTATGCTTTGTTGTTCCGTATCTCAGAACCTTGATAGTTATTTTTTCAGCCCCAAATTCGACAAGGAAGAGCTGGACGAAGCCACGGATGCCGTAGCAGAATTGCAACGAAGTGTGTCCTCCGTGGACTCGGAAAACATTCAAACTCCTCAGTCTTCCGTTGAGGAGCCCCTAGTCATTCCGAAGCCACCATCGCCAGTTGTCATCGACATCGTCCCTCCTCCTGCACCTCCATCGGTCTCTGAACCGATTGATATACGAAAGCCAGGCTCTCGCTCTTCCTACCATGGCTCGTCCATCACACCACCTACGAAAGCAGAAAGACTGAAGATATCGCCGTCACCAAGGCATCTTTCACTGGACAGACAACCAAAGCAGCGAGCAATCAGCCCGAATCCTCCGCTGCGATGTCCTGGGGATGCGCGCATCTCGCCACGGCTCAGCCCTTTGCCGTTGCACATTTTAGATCCACCAACAAAGACTCGACCCATAGATGAACCGATCAGAACCGAGTCGAATCCATTCAAACAGTACTTCCAACCAGAGGCGAAGAATGGTCTGAGCAAGAAAATGTATGAGTTAGTTTCGTTCTTTAAGATGGCCCGCCAAAAGAAAGCAGAACCAAAGAAATTCACGAAATTCTGCCGCGAAACTATCCGCGAATCATTAACTAAATATGTGTATTGCACACCATGCGCGCTACATGACGACTTGTAAGATTAGAACCTGCTCATTTCCAGTGGTTTCTCTTGTTCTCTTGGCTCTTCCACTTTGATTGAGTATTCACTGGTCACTAGTACACATTACTACGCTTCGTTATGCCAGAAAATGTCTTGCGGAGGGTTTACCAGGATGTCGTCAGGTATCGCGCGTAGTGTGCAGGTTCACATACCTATACCAGCGTGTCTCATGTTGAGATTATTTCGCACAATTAATCATTAACTACAAGCTCATCATCGTTTCAAATAATGTGGATATGCAATTGCGAGACAATTTTATTCCTCACGTCGATTATACTGTAACTATTTAGCAGCAATGCAAGCCGCCAAAGCGATGATTCGATGCTTTCGCTAGCCACATGCGGAACTGCGCCTATTGTAACAGCTGAAAGTGTTGACGATCTCGACACGGAAGTGTCAATTCTGAATGGCAATGTTAGGGACGATGGATCAGGGTGAGAATTGTTCTTGACTTGTGTGAACTGAAGTGGTTTCCATACCAAACATTGAATTTCTTTAGCGCCTGCTGATTCTATAGCCATCTTCATTTGTCTCATATCTTCGATCAGAATCCATGAGATGATTTACGCTAATTTCCTCTGTGCAGTATTTAAGGTCACCTAGGGCAACTGTTATTTCATGATCTCTTGTTAGGATAATTTGACTTGACTGCATAGGACTGAAAACACATGAACATGTTTTGAAAGTTATAGAGAACACTCCATTCAAGTGTTTCTTCTTTCTGCATTCTTGTAGAGTTGCGCTCTTCAAGATCACCTTTTCATGCTGCATAGAAAATCCGGCTTGTGAATCATTGCTGCACTGAAGAGCGGCTCTCGTATGTGGTTTTCTTGAAGGTTACTAAGGTTTTATCCCATTCGGTTTTTACATCGTACGATTTCTTTTGTGAGCCATCACTTTATGGAGTAGGAAAAAGCTAGACCTCGCTTCAGTCATAGTGTAGGGCTAAATAGGTCGTGAGTCGAGGCAGTAGAGGCATTTATGACATAAGCTTACAAATGACGCATTGATTGATGTTTGTTTACGCAAGCGTAATTTATGTTCGTCCGGAGGTGATGGTTATCTTGCAGTTGACTCGGCATACTGCGATTTGTTTACTCTGTGAAAGAGTTGATGAAGATCGCTGATAGTTTTGCTGGAAGCGAAGATCAGGAGAGACTGAGTTCTCTTTCCAGCCTAACCCACTGACAACTTGGACCACCAGCGGACAAATTTCCAATTTGTTTTGATATTCCAATTTTCTCCAGATTCTAAATAAGGTGGTTCAGCAAACAACTTTCTTGCCAATAGCAGTCTTGGTTGAAAATAAGCCGCCTATGTTGTCCATGCTAAAGAAATGCAAAATCGCCAATGGACTAAGTTTTGCCAACTAGATATTCATTCCTGTTCTAGAAATGCTTGCGGCTATATACAGATGTCTGTCAACAGTATGTTTCCGCGCAAGATGTCTTATTCCTTTTTTCGAATCATAATGCTACATCAGTGTACAAATTTAATCGAGTTTAGCCTCTTCCATGAGATTTCCATTAACGATATAAAAAAAACTTCGTAAACTCTGATGAACCTAGTATGGCAAGTTGGCAAGGATCGCGTGAACACTCTTTACTTTTGAATTTCATGCTTTCTTGACTTTACGACGATAATATCAAGCTCAAGATCTTGTCATCTGAAAGAGTTACACGTACTCAAAAAATTACATCTTTGTCGTTAGCTCATCTCCTAAGCAAGTGAACCTGACAATAGATAAGCACATCATCAAGCAAGCATGATTTTCTCTCTCTTCGTAATTTATGTAGCTTTTCGAAAATTCTCTTTTCTTCTATCCTTTCCCAAGAAATGCTGTTCGCTTGTACTTGGAGATGCAGAATAAATTATTGCTTTCAGCAGCGAAACAGCACGATCATTTGATGAAGGTCATCGTTTACTGGAGAACACAGTGACCATGCTCGAACGTCAGCTAAGAAGATATGATGAGCGAATTCATCAGCTTGAACGACTTTGCGAATTGCAACAGGTGATTTACCTTACTATTTCTAAATTCATAATTTCCCTCTGGTTATCATAAGAGGTTTTATTTTGCAACTTATTCCCCTGTAAATGCGAATTTCGAGTGGCCATTCCGCATGTGGTGTTTTCGCCTAGGTAAACAGAAACAGTTGTCACCGCCATCTTCCACGATCACCTCATCCAAACTTTACGGCTATTTTGTGGCGCCTTCTCACATCGCTCCAGTCCCATATCGTCGTCCCCAATCCTTCACATCCCCTATGCATTCTTAGGACCTTGATGGCCTATTCGTGATGCGCGTTCGAGCGCAGATGCAGAGCGATGCATGTTCATGCATACGCGAGTATGTCCGCAGCAACACAAATGTTTTCCCGAACTCCTCTCACTCTCTCGCTACATAAATGCCCCAAGCATTCGATACTGGCTAGTAACTCGGCCAGCTCTGAAGTAGTTCATCGAGTGGAGCTATCGTCGAGCTGTGCTACTCCAGAGAACGGACATAACGATTCAAGCTTGACTAAATGCATTGAGGTGGGCGTCGATTTCTTCTGCTGCCCAGGTTCCGGCAGGTGCTCGCCGCCTCCTCTGTCCACGACTGCAGTGCCCCTCTATTCAGCTTTTGCTGGATTTGAGTACGCTTAGATTGTTCTCGCGGAAGTTCCGATTGCAGATGTCAAAAATGGTAGGAATCGAGAACGAGTGGACCAAGGAGATATTGTGAAAATGAACGAGCAGTGGCGAAGAAGAGGGACAGAGAGGGAGGGGCCCCAATGAATGGTCGCGCGACTTTTGAAAATAGCCCAGATGAGTTGAGCGCGCAAATGTTTGTTTTTACTTGCAAACAATTAAGATAATCCTAAAAAGTAAAATCAAAATTAGCCTCGTAAAATTTTTTGGGAGCATGGCTGTCGTCAGCCCCTTTTTCTTCCAGTCTCGGGAGTCATGGGCATGCAAAAAATTCCAAGCATCCCGAGCATTTTGAAGGTGGTCCCTCCTATCCAAAAAATCCCCCCTCCCCTCTCTTCCCTCTTCTTCAAAAATCCAAATCGCACTGACATTCAAGTAAAATCATTATTATGCAAGGCAAGAATGCTGGAAAGAAAAAGTCTGGTTATAGCAATTGCTCGAAAGTTGGGACTGTCAAAGACCATTAACGAGCGTAAGGTTGAGCTTAACAGTAAAAACCTTGTTAGATGATTATTCAACAGCTGCTCTATGGACTTTTCCTGATCAAGCTGATGACAGAATAGAGTACCCCATTCGTCATAAATTTTATGTGCGTCGTAAAGATTATTTGTCTGCATGAACTTGATGTTTACCTCCTGAACTAACAATTATTTTTTGATTAGTGTTCGTACCCCGACTTTCAAATGGGTAGTGCGCATAATTCCATAAAAATCGATCATTCCATTTACTGCACTCGTACCAGGGAACAAGTTATCGCTGATTCATATGATGCATCCCTCACACTCCCATTCCGATGCCGTTCACTTCGCACTACTTTAAGAGCAGGAAACTACTCGCATTGCAAGTTTTTGCACTCCCATCGGTTGCACGGGCAGTGGCCCGCATTCGGCAAAAACGTCTTGCAACCGTCATGCGCAGCCCTTGTCTACTCCGCTAGCGTATCCATGTCAAAAATGACTAGAAACACATTTGAGTTGTGTGGTTTGTCCCCAATTCTGGTGCACACACAAGTCCACAGGTGAGCGCGCATTTAGCGTCGCCTGCAAAGGCAATTTCATGCGCGGTCGGTGGGCGACGATTAGAGCGACAATTATGGTCGTTCGCTGCAGTTGAGTTGTGCGTTCAACTTCATCCGCTTCACTCAGCAAGGCTTTCATCTTCGTAAAGAGTGACTGTGTCGGTAACCAGCCGTGTATGGGGACATGCGAGGCACCCAAGGAAGTGCAAATCACGGGACAGTCGCGCGCGATCGCGCTCAAGTGTCAGTGACCTTACCTTACGTATAGTTGCGAGTATTGGCTCCTATATTTTTCGTGGTAGAGTTGTCATAGGATAGTGTAGCCTCTGGCATGACTGAAATCACCGCCAAAAAGGATGAAACCGAAATTTTTTAAAAGATAATCATTGCCTCTGATGGCACAAGTGCAAAAGATGCAAAAATTGGGGCTGAGATCAAACTGACACTTACATAATGAATCTATTTGCTAAATTGCGATGTTTGATGAAAAAGAAGTGAAAAGATGTGTTACTTCTTGCAATTTGTTCACAAAATAAGACTTCTGTCAAATGTCGCTGGTGTTTCAACTGTTTCAAAACTTCTATGCAATCCCATCGCCAAATCTGTCTGCTTTTTTTTTTGAAAGGTTCTTTCATCATAAGTGACCCGCAGCACCGTTCCTCCAATCCTTCTTTTATAGTCCGTAACCCAGCAGTTTTACACGAGATTCTGCTATTTCCGATTTATTATACCGACCCTTCATTCTATGGCCGTCTTCATCATTAATACCTTGAGGTAAATTCTACTCCAGGTAATTTTATCACTCATTATCAGCAAAATTACATTGAGAATTTACCTCAAGGTACTTTTGAATACGGGTACTTGCTGATAATGAGTGATAAAACTACCTGGAGGTAGAATTTACCTCAAGGTATCAATGATGAATACGGTCACTGCTTGCCTTCCTTTGTAGCCTTTTTATAAAATCAAAAGACAGATCTTCTGCCCACTAACTACACCTTTTTTTTGTTGATCTTGCACTCGGTCTCAGTCACCGCATCAAACAGATTTTGACTTCTAAGTCTATTGAGAAGTGTTACCGCATAGGTTACTCTCTTCTAGGGGAGGGGGGGGGGGGGTGGGACAATGGTTTTACCCTGACTTAATGCATTACACATCGTAAGTACGTCATCAGCACTGCGCTATGTGTTGCGAAAAGCGTAGCGCAATGCGTGAAGTGTGTGTGCTCGTCGTCGAGTGCACGCCGATCTTCGACGATCAGTGGATGGACAATCGTTGGTCTCGGCAAGTTTCGGGCCACTACTCTCGATTGTCTGTCTAGAAAAGAGAGGACCGCGTGCCTCCTTCACTGACAACGAACCGAGACAGCCTTGACCGGCGAGTATCGTTGTGTGGATTCCGATACGTGCAATTAGACGAGACGGCCTCCACAGAGTGTCGTGATATCAACTGCACTGCGGCTGGCAGCAGAAATCAGGCTCTTTTTCGTTTTCTGAACACTGATCTGGTTCCAGCTGCAGTGCTTGTGACATGCCCTATACGACGGACGAGAGTTCCAAGGTGAAATCGATAAGCGATGTGTAACTGTGGTCAGCAATGTACTTTTCGGCGATTTTTCGAGTGATAAAGCGCGTTTTCTTGGGGACGAGACTCAGTATTCTCGAGTTTCATGGCGAGTCCAAATCCACAGTGGTTGCTGGATTAGGTGAAAACGGAATGACCTAATATGACGCTGTGAATTAGGCCATATAAAAACTTTCATAGAAACGTAAATGCGCATAATCGTTGCTTATCCATTATGAGTAATGGAGAGAGAGGGGAAAGATATTCTATCGAACGCTTTTCGATGATACTCCTTGTTACCATTCACATATCCTCGAGACGTTTGTAACTTAAAATGTGAGTCTGCACACTATGCTCGACTACCGACGACGCCTTTACTAGTAAATCCTCAGTGAAACCTTTTCTAGCGTAACAATGTAGAAATGCGGACTACTAAATAATACATATCCGATCACACTATAAGAGACAAGAAAACAAGGGAAAACCGCTAGAGATGAGCAAATTGTAATCTTACAAGTCGTCAAGTAGCGCGCATGGTATGTGCAATACGCCTATAAGTTACAAATGATTCAACGATATGGCGGGAGAATCGAATCGTAAATTTCAACTATCACCCAATGTACAAGTCGAAAAGGACTGGTTTCACACCTTGTCTCTGTCTTTACAGCTCTATGATAAAACACAAAGGATGCTTCATTCGCAAAAACATTGACTACGATAATAATTTATTGAAAAATGTTGCAGCAGAAAAAAACATCAGCAAAGCTCGTTTTCGGCATCGCGAGATCGAGTTTCGGTGATGAAACATCGATTTTTCTGTGATTTACAGCCACATGTGGCTGCGACGTCGTTTAGTTACAAACGTGACATTTTGCGGTGTCGGGTTACTACGTTTACTTGTGTCTAAAAAAGCAAATTTGTAAAGGACAAGGTGATTTAAGGCTTTTTCTGCTTCTCACTCCTTTTACCTCACCAAAAAACGAGGAAAACCCCTCGAATTCGGCAAGTACGGCCTTTTGCTACAGCGTAACATCTCGTCGTTTCTTTGCAACCACGGATTTGAACTGAACGGCGAATAAACGTGCAAATAAGTGGCTCATACGATGTGCGGCGTTTTCTGAAGTGTCGATATGAGGGGGTGATTCATATGTGTAAACATTGCGAATTTCAAGGTGACCCAAGTAGACAATTCGGTCACGTGTAGGTTGTGCAACTTTTAGGTAGAATGAATGTGTGAGAAAAGATAAAATTTCAGCTAAAAAAATCTTCGCGTGTTCTCAAATAATGTTCCTTTTTTGAATTTTGCAAATAATATTCCTACAACTAATTTCAGATGCATTGAGTGGGTGAAAATCTATCTTTATGGGAATACTCACTGCACTCTAGGCTTTTTCAGTAGTTTATAGAAAAAAATTGCCGCGCGATATAGTGAAGAACGTCATAACTTAAAATTTCTACAATGCTTCAGGTCTAATATTCCTCTTCCACCTAGTACCGAAGAAATGGTCCTCACTAGTAGGTGGCTCGAAAAAAAAACCCATTGGCAAAAGCCGAAATATTGTTTGGAAATTGAGTTCAAAAATATTCCTGACTTTATAAATTTTTAAATTGTAAGTTCCACGGTTGACACATAAAAGTGCCTGTTTTTCTCATTAATACTTAAGATCCTGGTCCCTCTACTAAAATTAAACCCGGAAAAATATCCCCTGGCCATATGTCATACTAGGCTAATCTTGAAGAGTGAGAAACCCGTTGCTTTTGACAGTTACCATGGAGCTAACACACGCCATCTTGCCAATCCTCTTCAGCAAACAAGAAACGATTAAACGGAACCGATTACTTTTTGTAAGCATAACATCTCTTAGAGGGAATAAATATTGATAATATTCAACTAGATTACATCTAAACTCTCATGTTCGGAAAAAAATTATAATTTCCAAAGTCGTAGATGAGCATGTTTCAAAGATAAAAAGTGCATAAATGGCAGCCCATCCTGCTACGAAAATATATCATTCTATGAAGAAACGCATTATTTATACATTTACAAGGAATTTCTTCGTCATATGAGATTAGCTAGCATCCATGACGAAGGTATGCAATCACGTCTACTATACTAAGCGACGAGTGGGTTTTTTCGCTTCAACAAAAACTTTTTTCTAAAGCATTTTTGTGCACAAGCATTTAGCATTTGCCTTTGTATGAATAAAATAGAATGGTGCTAAGTGTAGTCAAGAAGGGACGCTTAGATAACAAAAATACCATTCTTAAGCACGTAATAGAACAGATTCGTACCCTCAACCTTTTTCTAGATAGGGTAATGACATATTCTGACCCTTTTTCAGAGTATCCTACATTTAATTGGAAACAAATTATATGTTCAAGATAATCTTTCAAATGCACGAAGAATTATGCTAGACCCAAAGCGGATTGCTTTTTTTTCAAGTTTCATTTTTTCGAGCAGTTATTCATTCCCAAAAAAAGAAAATGGGTTTTAGTCACATGATGGCGCCATTATGGCAGAAGAAAAACGGTACACAATTCGTCATACCATTGCTTATAGGTATTTGGTGAGAATTTATGATGAAATTTTCGAAAGAAAGATTGAGCATGAAAAAATGACAGTTTCTAAGTATTACTAGCAGCCGATAAGAAGAAATCTCAGTTGTGATAATGACACAACGACTGACTGTCTAATTTACTGGGGATGATTCAACAACTATATGGACCTACTAGATTGCTATAAATTCCAAATCTTTGCTAGAAAACTGAATTTTGTGTTTGAGAAACAAAAACTCGGAGTTGTGGACCACACATGCGCCGAAGACCAGGCGATGCCCCACTTTCCCAGATGGTAAAATGTTACTTTTATCTCTCGGCCATCTACCCGCAAATTATGCCAATCCATCCACAGCTCAGGCCGTAATACAGTGCGAAACGGGGCAAGGCCAGATCATGGATTAACGATGGCACATCCTCCAATCGACCGGCGCAAAAGAGAACGAAGGATTACTCTGATCCTTCTCTAATACAGCGATAATGATGATATTAGCCTTGGACTAACTATTGCCCAAAAACATTCAAGTCGGGACTAAGGGCTGCCCTACGGTAGCTGACATGTTCACCACCCGTTAAACATATGAGCGCGCTGCTGCTCACAGACTTCACTCAGTCCATTCAAACTAGAACGGAAAGACGAACAAGTCTTCGTTTGTTCGCGCACCCGCACTTCCCGACTGATCACTTGCTTGTCGTGTGTATTAGGTGTATTTGCACAACGTCCACATGTCTACGCGCGTTGCTGCGTTTGTGCGCATTATGTAATTGGTTGTGTGTACGTGAACTTGAGGAGCGAGCGCGACACATACACACCAGGTCACAATTCTCGCTTCATATGAGATGTTTAACCTGTTTCAATCCAAACACACATTCCACTTGAAGGACATACACACGCACGGGAGATGTTTCGCGCCTTTCTCTTTCTCCATACCCAAGTGCGTCATGAAGATACCCCCTCAAGTTACCCAAGGTCACCGCTGAACCTTTGAGTAACGGCTTTGCGCAGAGATTGTGTTGCTATTCGTTTTGTTCGCAATTTCATAGCTGGATAAATTGATGCGGAGGAAGACATTGGAATTCACAACATATGGATAGCTAGTGGGTCACAATTGCATCTTCCGATTTTATGCCTACGCGCCTTACCATAAACCCAAAATGCCCTTGACTCAGTTTTGCATTCGGTAACCTCTCACCACAAAAGTTTTTAAGTATGCGAATTTTTTGTAGTGTGACCTTGCAATGTATGTAGGCATCTTACAGATTTTGGCAAAGCTATGTAGGCGCAAACTGGCGCTATTCAGTGAAAACCTTAAAGTTCAACCATGTAAAATAAGCCGGTTATATACGACATCCATAAAATTCTCTATTTCAGAAAGACATGGAAAGCCTTCGCTACGAGATCGCATGGAAAGACGAACGCATTGAATATCTACAGAAGACGCTAGCCGAAATGGAGGACTCGTTGCCAAGCTCGTCAGCTGACCCCTAGCCCAGTTACCCCGGTGTCGCCCATAGAAACACATTTGCTCTTGCGCTCGCAACAAAATGTCACTTTTCGCCGCACATTCCCCAAAAGAGCACCTCAGCTGACCACGTAGGAGTGTCTGATCTCTGACGAAGGACATGAGAGTCTAAGCTGCTGCTATAGCTCCAAGCGACATAGTGCATCATTCAGTCATCTGCTGCTGTGCTTTGCTGTGCATCGTTGGTTGAATTGTGCTTATGTGTGTGTACTGTGCTTCTGTGCTCTGATGAGATAGATTCAGTCGAATAAACAATCATATATTCGAAATAAACAGAAAAAATCATTCGAAAGAGGAATATTGCCATCGAATGTACATGTACAAGCGCATAACACACAAACGATAATAGTGAATGCAATGAAATATGCTCTTATCTACTGGGAACTTTGGAATGCTGCAATATGATGCTGGTTTAACGGTGAGAGTGGTGGTGAAGCTGAATGCACGTGAGCAGCGTGATTTAAGGGGTGGTTCGGGAGAAACAGGGTACGAAAGAGGACTAAGGTACGTGCGAGAAGCTGCACCACCACACCCGCTGGACAAGAACAGAATATGTGGAAGGTGACCAAAATAACAAGTGAGGCGGCATTTGGACCCTATAACAACCTTCAAAAATGGTCATCACAGACTGCAAGTACACGAAAAATAAGGAAATGCGTGGAAGAAAACTTGATCCCACTTCGGAAGCGATAAGGAACTGAACGAGGAGGCGGCTGGATGGGCTGCTAGGACCTGAACACCTCAGTCGGCCACAGCAGCACGTCCGAAGCCGGTGTGCTATTATTATAGATCGCTGAGATCGCTCACGGGTAAAGCTCCATTTCTTTTCTAACAAAATGATAAGAGATGAGGTACAAACGGGAAGTGTGATTGTTTAGCTAAGGAAAGGTGTGCACTGGACCGACTGCAGGTGAGGAACGACATTCAATGAAATGGAAAACATAACTAAAAAACAGAGTGGGCATCTCGTAGAAAGTATGAGAAAAAGTACACACATACACAAGGACGCCGACAGCCGATCGGGTGATTTCTTCTGGTGCTCGCCGATCGATTGCCAGAACAGGTAAAACGAATCGATAGGGTATGATGCGATGCAAATGCTATACGAAATGCTAGGAAATGTATAAAAGTGGTGTGTTATCAAGGACAAAATATAGCATGATCTAATATAAAAAACAAAGAAGGAATGAAGAGAGAAATGACTCAGCCATTCACGTCGGCCATCTTGTTGCGAGCGTACTCAATCCGTAAACCACCACGTTCGGAGGAACCAAGCTGGAATCCCTGCAAGGCCATCATTGCACTCGTCGCTGACGCCAACGACGAGTATTCGATGAAGGCCACAGAGGAACCGTTCTTCGTGTGCATTCGGAGTCGTGTGAAGCCAGCGAAGGCCTTGAATACAGATCGCAGCTCATCTTCAGTCACCCCAGGGCTCAGGTTTGCAACAAACAGCGTGGAGCAACCCTGGAGGGCTGGATTCTGAGCGCCTAGACCCAAAGCCTGGAATATTGCAGCATTCTGGTGATAGGAGCCATCAGACGGCAGAATACCAGCAAAAGGCAAAGACTGAGCAGCGGGAAATCGAGGAAGACTGAGGGAAAGCAGCTGATGCTGGTCGAAAAGCAGAGGGTGCTGGTCGAGGACTATAGCTTCGGTGGGTTGTAAGGGAGCCAGGAATTGGGGCATCGACTGTAGAGTTGGAGCAGCAATAGGAATAACGGGTGGTGGCGACTGTTTCGGCCGACTGACCTTCGTATTCGATTTGGCAAGCTCTAGACGGAGCACCTGCGCACAGTCCGGGTCGAAACGCACTCCCTGCAGTGCCTTGCGGGCATCGTCTGCGTCTTTGCTCGTCTGGAACGTAACGAAACCCACCGGCGACGTCGGCTTGCCATTCTTCGCCGTCATTTTGAGCAGTGAACTCTCATAGCCACGATAGGCACGAAACAGCAGATAGAGCTCGCGAGGCTTCGCATCCATCGGCAAACCCGACACGAATAAGGTGCGCACTTGTGAGCAGGACTCAGTGCTGACGGAATTGAGTGATTCCATGGAGATAGCGGACGATAGCTTGCCGCCATCCATCTCGGCAGGCCGGCAGGTAACTGGCCCTCGCCGTGCGTCGCCGCGCATGAGGCTCGCGCAGCGGCCGCTCCGCCCTTTCGCCACGGGGCACCGTTGCCCGGCAACCCGCCGCTCGTCGCTGTTTGGCGATGGCCCCCAACGCTTGATGGCATCATTGTTGAGGCAAATTCTGGCAATACGGTTGCAAATCCTTGCCATTCAGTTATCGGAAATGTCACAAATATGCGCGGTCCGTTATAATTCCGAAAATTAGGACGATTTTTGGGCGAATAGCAAGCACCGAAGTCTGCCAAGATTGCACAGTTTTGAAAAGAAAACCCTTCCATCGTTATGTCAAGGTAAGTTTACGTAAAGAAAAATGATGAACAGCCTCTTTACCTTGAATAGAGCTACGCACGGTCTATAATTACGGTGTTTTGCTCTCATTACTGCGGCTAATCTTTCAAGTGTTCAATGCAGTGGATATGGTCAACAAATCTAAACGATCCATAAGTGCGATAAAATCGTGCAGAGCAGTAAAGCAACATGAAACCATGATCCAGTGGTAACCAGTACTTGAAGAATGATCATTGATTCCACAACGAAACCACTGCTTTGCAACTTACACATAGACAAAAATCGAAAAATAAATTCAACACCAAAGTAATAAAATTGATTTCGATGGACAAAACTTGCTTACTCAAAAACTTACTTCACTTCCATAAGTAACTAAGACTTACCAGTGTTAAAATCCACGTATCACAAACACCAACACAATTTAGACGACCTAAACGGAATTGTGTATTGCTCAACAAACAATCATTTAACGACCTATGCATGGAGAAATGCATTTAAAAACATGTCATAAAGAAGATAGCGCCTTCTCTCAATGCGTCTATGACCCTCAAGCTGCAACCGCGATCAATCTTGATTTTTATGCCCACGTGACTCTGCTGTGCAACAAACCTGTTAAAATTTTTGGTCGACATCAAACGCCCCCTGTATTGCACCAATTCTAAGCACTCTACATGGAAAAAATCGCAAAATCTGACAGCTTCTTAAGTGTGCAAAAACGCTCAAACGTGATAAGATAACGCCCTAATTATTTCTTTTGAACTGAAACGATTCACGCTTCGTTGCACCCAATAGATCATTTTGCGCCAATTTTTTCCAACTTCAAAAAACTTGAGACGAAAAGATTTTGAAAATTAAACATAAAACAAACATCCAAACTCTGATCTATACGTTTGCGAATTTCTCATTTCGCACATTCATCATCCTGCAGCAGAAAGATGTCAGCTGTCAATTAGCAAAAAAGCACTAACCTCCAACAGGTGAGGTGACCACAGATGAAACGCTGCTTTAGCAAATGCATTGCATTTCTCCGCTATCTACACAATAAGCCTATTAAAACATTCCTAGCCATTAGAAAAAAGAAGTCAACTCACAGTAAAGCTAAGCGTGAAATCCGAATGACATGAAGATATTTGCAAACTCACCCTGAATTAGTACAATGAAGACGATAAGACTAGTTAAGCATAACGTGAGATCAAAAGAGAGAATTTGTGGCGAATGAGAACTCTCAACGATTCAAGGAAATCCGCAGATCAAGGCTGAAAAAGCCTAAATTCTTCGTTTGAACTGTAAAATGCGCGCGCTTTTCGCGCCATCTCTCGGGTGCATAAGGTAGGAGGTGCCAGAGGTAGGTAGGTGCCAGAGGTAGATGCCAGAGTGAGCGAATATTTTGTTCAGCTTCGTTCACCTGCAAAAGGCGCACAGAATTAACGTTGATTCTGCGCGGGACCTGCAGCTGAAGCAGGCCTTGGCAGCAGTAGAGATTGTGCAGCAGACATTAATTCTGTGCGCCTTTTGCAGCTGAACGAAGCTTAACAAATTCGCTTAGGTAGGTGCCAGAGTAAGCGAATATCTTGTTCAGGTTGGGGTCCCGCGCAGAATTGACGTCACACGCTGGCGAGACAATCGTGACGTCCATTCTGCGCAGGACCCCAACTTGAACAAAATATTCGCAACTGGCACCTACCTAATTCAGCAAAGCTCAAATCCATTCAGTAATTTTTGTTAATTGAAATATCGTTCCGACTTTGCTGTCAGGTTTCACATAGACTTTTGTGTGCGCCTATATACAATCTATCTAGAATTTGGCGGGAATTATCCTCTTCCCCTTTGAATTTAGTTAGGATGTAGCTCGCAGCCAGCTGTAGCAAAAAATTTAGCTTTTTTGTTTGTTGCTTATGCAAGTTTCGTACTCTGCGCAATCAGGGACTCTCAGGGATTGGAAATTTGCAAGTGTACAGTATACTTTCAATTGATCGATAGCCTAGGTAGATAAGTTAGCCGCTCTAAATAGATGGACGCAGGGACTGGGTGTTATTGCGGACATTCTGGCATCTCTTTTATCAGGCGCACTCTCATCGCTCTCGTGTCTACCTTTTCTTGTTCTTAGTTCATGTATACCAAAAGTAACCTAAATGAAGATGTGTAGTCAAGAAGTGAAGACTGTAAACGCGACACTCACTTTCGCGTATATTCTAGTACCTTTCTGAACCTCGGCGGGGTTTTTTTTGTCAGAATCGATCACACTTCACAATCCGACTGTGTTACATCTATGAAACTTAGCGTTTTTCGTCTCGATGCCATTTCCGCTGCAGTTTACGCGGTTGAGATCGATGTTCGTTGATGATTAATGGAATCGATGCGCGGTATTTCGGCTGCACTCGCGCAGTTCCATGGCGTTCGCAGCGCGGTTCACCCAGCAACGGTGCTTTCCAATCCCTTGATGACTTCAAGAAGCCCTTCCCCTCCTCAATGATGCAAATTTTGGGATCAATAAGGGGGTTGAAGATGGTGGTGGCCGGGTGATCATCTCCTCGTGCCGCGCTTGACCCGCTCAGCAATGCGTCTCGCCGGGCGCTCGGTCAAGGCCTCTTATGAGGTATATGTCGTACTATACAATTCGTTCCTTGCGATCACCTGGGCCGTCGGCGCACGAAAAAACCGACAATGAAGACCCGTGTCAATCATCGCAGGTGATTTGCCAGCGCATGCGATCGTGCGACCGAGATCTACACACCCAAAAAGTCCCAACACTTGCTATGCGTGGATCGTCGTCGCGGTTAAGGCACGCAGAAAAAGCGCAGGCATCGGCCACGAGTATTTCTTAGCGAATTTTCGGTGAATTTCTGCGTGACTGACCGGCACAGTATGATCGAGTGTCTCCGACATAAAAAAGCACTGAAATTCGATTTCACTGACTCACTATCTTGGCCAAATCGCGATTTTACCATTTATAGTCAATAGAAGCGTAAATGCTTTTTTTATTGACGGAAGTTATTGCCGATGCAGAACTTGATTCTTAGGCAACTTGTACATGACTCAGATTCGTATTCCATCCGTAAAAGTATGTATAAAACATGAATGATCGGATACATTTCCGGATTCTATGGAAGCCTAGTAGTGTGTATTCATGTAATTTTTTAGATTTTAAAATAAAGCACCATCTAGATTTGTTCTGATTTTTTGATGACTGAATTCCAGAAAATCATATCACACCGTACTATCATGTAATCCTAAGCAAAATAGTGTTATTTGTCGGGTGTCAATTGTTCAGAAATGTAGACTCTTCCCTATTTAAAGTTTAATCGCAAGGAGGGCAAATTCGAATTAATGCGAATTTGACTAATTTGGCTGACAAATAGAAAAAAAACAAAACGAGCAAAAAATTTGACTAATTTGACTGACTTGAAACATCTTTGTTTAATGAATACGTAAGGAAGCTTGGCAAATACGACCCACTATGATTGCATTCCGAATAAAAAAATGCTCCGAGTCTTTACTACTGAACTTTGAAGTAGCTTTTCACACACCTAAAAAGATTATCTTTATTAAAATCTCGTTTCTTCTCTGAAAAAATTGCGCTTATCTTTTCGGATCCTGGAATATGTCGAAGGATGGGAACTTGAACTCAGCATGTCCAGAGTTGCTGGAAGCTGGCGCTGGGCCAGCGTCGTTCCAGCGTCGTGCCAACTTCGTGCTACTGCCATAGCGCCGTTCACATGCGCCCCGTGGCCAGCCGACATTTTGCCGGTGGGGTCACTGAAGCAGCCTCAGTTTGCAAATCAACACTCTCCGAAATCAGGAATAAAGTTATTTTTTTGCGCCAATCCTAGTGGTTGCGAAATTGCAGGCCTTGCTTGCTAAGATGGTGACACCATTTTTTGTTTAATGCAAGCACTTCATTCCGTAAAAGGTTCTCCTCTTCCTGGCACAGCGCGATAGCCATGCGAATAACCTCTGAAATCCATGGAAGGACTTTTTGCCTGTTCGCTCCTGCATTTTTGGAATGCCGCCTACTTGTTCGAGTGTCTGGTTCGTAATCTCACGCCTAACTGGTGCCATAAATCTGTTACGAAAGACATGATATCCCGTCACAGTTAACGATAAATCTCACTAAGCTGTTTCCATGACAAAGAGGGGGTGTTGGCATTCCTCCTTTCGTCCATGAGTGGAAATGATATTTTAATCTTGCCTTTGCCCTGTGGAAAAAATTCGGTATCGCTTATATGTAGATGAGCTTGTCAGCGGCCGTAGTAGTTTCGATTCACAAGATTTTCAATACATAAGTTGTAGAAGCGGGAAGAGGAAAATCTTAGTACCCTCGCGCTCTTATGTATGAGTTTAATAATTAGGAGGTTGCCTCTAAACAGAGAGAATTCAGTAAAACAGTTATAGTGCATGTGAAAAATCGTGTCGATGGCGCGACCGCGCGCTACATGCACGCCACTCCCAAAAATCGCATTTTCTTGGTTTTCACCTCTGGTCGAGTGCTTTACTTACATATGATAGTATTTAGACGCTGGAAGTGGCTGAGCTGAGCGTTGAGGTGATATTTTCTTGTATGAGCGTTTTATGCTCCTATGGGAGCAAAGTCCGCAATTAAATCGGTGGTCACGATTCTATAAATGACCTACACAGTCTATTTATTTCATATGGTCATATGTGTCACTGCACACAATGTATGTCTTTACCGTCCCCATCCCGAAATTTCGGCTACGTAAGCTCTAAGGTTCTGTGCCTGTTACCATCTCTTACATCAGAAGCGTTTATGAATTTCACATATTTTTGCGACTTGAGTTTTCCGTAATCTCCATGGCCAGAAATCCAGAGTGTGAACGCCAGAGACTAGTTATATGAAATGACTGGACATAGTCAATTCATAGCAGTGGCGATCTCAGGATTTCCCTCCGGGGGGGGGGGGCAGCAAAAAAAATTTTCCAATGAAGGTGCGTGGCATCAGCCACGCACTCCGAAAATTTTTTGGGGTGCTTCTCAAAATTTCTGCGGGTCCCCAACCCCTAAAATCTGGAAAAAGGGGTCGTGGCGTCAGCCAAGCCCCCGAAAATTTTTTTTATAGGGCTAATTTGAATTTTTAAAAAATTTCAAAAATTATTTCAATTGCTTACAAGAATAAACAAGTTACTTGCGCATTTTCATAACCCATATAAGTAAATTTCAGAAATTTCGCGACCCATCCTCGGAAGGGGGCGCCCCCTCCCTCGGTGCCCCCCCCCTCGGTCCGCCACTGCTTCATACTTACGCATTTCACTAATTTCATCTACTTCATCCGCTTCGAAGCTTGAATCAGTGATGCCATTTCGAAGCGGATGAAGTGAATAAGCATGGCTAAGCCTTGTGTGACGATGATGCTCCAGCGCCGTGCCAACAATGTGCCAGCGCTGTGACAGACACGTGATCGCAATTTGTAGCGTTAATCTAGGTTCCGAACGGCGCTAAACGGCACTGGTACAACTTTGAGTGAGGTGCTTAGCAATAATGTCGTGTATCACTTTAGACTGTTCGAATCGTGAAACCTTTATCTGCTTGTACATGTCATTCTAATGATTTGGTGGTTGATGTAGTGCCTCTGCGGTGACGACAATACTCGCGCGTGAATTAACGCTATGCTTGTGAATGCCGTCGACTTGCCTGTGGTTTACGCGTAAAAAATGGAGATGGAGCACACACTGTAATTGTATAAGCGCAAGTGTTGCTAACAACGCAGGAACGCTACACTATCCGTCAAGTTTACCAGGTTATACTGCTCAAATACTGCTTCTTCGAACAATTTTTCTTTGCATCCATAAATAATGTACTGAATTTTGTTGAAATCTTCTTAATTTGGTCTCTTTTATTGTTTGAATGAAAGGACAAAAACGACTATCAATTAATGTTCCGTGAGCAAAATTAGCCATCACGCTAATGTATGACCTTCCATTTCATTTAGGTCTTCTTACAAATTAATTTGTAAAAAGGTCGCTGGTATCTTTCACCACATCTGATTTGCACTGGAACAAAAAACATACAGTGACCAATTTAACGTTACAGTACAATTTAACTCTGTGGAGTACAGTAGACGACATTTTCCTTCTTACAGATTGACATCACAACTTTGTCTGTATCATGGAATCCGGTTGGACTAGGTTTTGCTCAAAAACCAGCTGTGAGCATATCAGTTGCAATGAGGCCATTCACAGAACCTGCCCTCCATGGTATGGGCCTAGAGAATAGCTTGTTCTGGCACGAATAGCATGAGGGAATGGAACGATAAACGGTAATCATGGCAGAGCCGGTTATATCGAAACTCCCGTTCAATGTAAGTGTTGGATCACTGATTACTTTTGAATGGAAATCGAACTTATCATTCAGACTGTAGGATTGTAGACTTCACCTAGCATTTACTACGAACCTTCTACCTGCTTTACTGAGGAGCTACATCAAAATTTCCTGCTATCTTATAGATATTGAGTCAAAAAATGATAAGAGTGTCGATGGTCATGGCAGATCATACTCAGTACATTAGTCCTTACATGGAACTTAAGCGAGGTGACTGAAGCGGCCAGAGTTCGTGCCAGCGCCGAACTAGACCGTTGATCGATCAATTAGGGAGGAATACGTGGGCGCTGGCACGACGCTGACACGGACAGCTCCCAAAGCATCTTCAATAAAGCACTGCCAAAGCGACTGCTCATATGTTTCAGTGCGGCTAAGTAAGACAACACTAATCTCTTTCAGGTCTTTCAGGTACCATACTTTTTGGAGCTAACCGATCTTTCTCAGAGGATACTAATGGACCGAGCTGCAGCTGCATGAGAAGTCTAAATTATACCATTGGTATAATTTAGACTTCTCATGAATAAGAAATGTCTCAGAATTTGCCTGGACACTACTTTAAAAATATCTTTTGGTTTTGGTAACAGCATGTGATAGCATGTTTTTTTATAACACGGTGCAGCCATCGAAGAGCTAATTATTCCTTTGAATTTATATTAGAAAGGCCAATAAACTCAATAAGGTAATCAAACAAACTATGAATTTAGAACAATAACAAATAAGTATGAATAATACATGATTCTAGGTCTTCCCTCCTTACTGAGAAGTTCCGGGAAGACCTAGAACTCATTTTAAACTCCGTCCAAGGGAAAGAACGAAAAAAGTTAGGTTGTTTAGTGTTCACGCAAAATATTCTAAATATCTTTAATTTTGGCTATGGTTACACTTTAGAAGTGCTATCATTTCAGTTTTATTACTAGTGTACAGCTTTGGCCATTAACATTTCTGCTGATCCAAAAAGAATTTCTAGTTTTCTAGATCCTGAAAAGTGAACTTGGAAGTCTTCTGCAGACAATACCGTAATTCTACAGTATGAGAGGCGACCGCAATAGTCCGTGCTGGAATCTCAATCCAAAAGCTTAGTTTTACGAAATTTTAAGACTCAAAACGAAAGCTTTTGATGATTATGCAGTGCACCATTATCCGAATACCCTGAGGCAGTTGTTGGGGAAAAACTGTAGTTGAGCTCCCGGTACTTAATCCTCTACATTTTTGTTTCAACTTTCCACGAAAGGGTTAATGGGGCTTTCTTCGAACCAGGCAGTCATGGCCTCAAATTATCACAGCGTGTGCACACTTGCGACTAGATGTGTCCTAAAAAGGCTACAGTTGACAGCCACTTTGCAGATTAGGTAAATATGCGGATGCTTAATGGATTAAAAAGCCACCGAGTAATAATGCGAGAATGGTGGTGCCATGGGCTATTGCCGTAATTGCGTAATTGTGCGAGTAATATCGCGGTTAATGCACTTCGAATTCATAATGGTATCGTCCCCTTTTTGAGGGGAGTCCATCAGGATGAATTATGGCTGAGTTGGGTACAGTCCAGTAAAATTTCCGCGTAATATAGTGTTTGCGGTGCCGAGATTCTGCGATTAAAATTTGCGCGTGGACAAATAGCAGCGTAACTAATGCCGCCATTTTGCGCGCGCAAGTGGCCGGCACTACACGCGTAGCCTTTTGTTCACGTGCAAATTTAACTGCAGAACCTTGCACCACAATCGCACTATGAGCATAAAATAGTAATCTGTATCTCTACTGCTAAAAGAGCGGTGTAACATTCGCTGAATCGTTGCTGCGGTTAAATTTGGTGGAACTGAAAGTGTCGTGGCTGCTTTTTACGCTAAACGACTCAATAGCTGAGTATTGTAGATTACGGTTCCGCTCACTTGAGCACTCGAGTTTTTTCCCCAGCAAATCATGTGCGGAAAACGAGACGGCCGTGAATGGAGTCGTTTTTTTTGCGTCGACCTGAATCCAGCCGACCGACACACACCGACAGCGCGTTGACAGGCCAACACTGTCGTTTTTGCCATCATCGCTCACTTTGATGTCGACGTGAATGAATCGCTTCGCATTTGGGGACCCTACGTACCCCTCGAAATAATCAGATTCTACAACTGCCCTATGTTTTTTGGGAAGCATGATTTTAGTAAGTAAGTGTGCTGTATAGAGAAGCCGCAATTTGAGGCCCAGAAAATGACTGTCGAAAAAAATCATACGAATCTATAGTCTAGTAGATTTGACAGTCTTTTAGTGCTTCTGCGGTGCCGACAACATTTGTGCGCGTTTAGTGGGCGCAAAACTGAAGAGGTGACGCCCAGATATTTTTTTACGAGCGAGCGTTGTTGACACCGCAGAGGCTCATAATGACGTCCTCTCTACTAAAATTCCGTGGAACACTGCATACTTACTTACTAAAGGAAAGTGTAAAGTTACAAGTTGCATCGCTGTTTTTCTGGGTTGGCTGTTTTCCAGATCTGCAGAATTAACGCTTCGCTCAGTAATCTTCTGATTTTTTTTATCTAAGGTTATCAGTTGGTCACGGTGGATTTGCAATGGATAGATTCTCGCGCGAAACAAAGAGTGCGCACCTATCGTACTACAATAAAGTACAAGTGCAACACATCATTAAGAAATGTGAACATGACTACAAATCTTCTTCTTTGTCACGAGTATGCACATAGACGAATGATGACAAAGAAGAGCTCCGTTGCTTCAAAATTCTC